AAAATTTGACACTCCCACACACAGGAATATTTTTGGAATCAGGATAAAAAGGGGAAGTTCCACAAAAAAGGTGTTCATAAGAGTGCATGGTAGTATTTGCTTTAATTATTTAATTGAAACCAGCTCAGTTACATCGAATATAACCTCTGATTGTTGCGTTGCGTTTGTATTGGCCAGCTCAAGCTGGTAATCTAAGTTTAAACCACAGGCGTGCTATAAAAAAATGGCCCTTAGTGTTCGGAAGACATTATGCCGCCGATCAGAATATCAAACATTGGCTAACACAGTCGCGATTACCGATTCGTGCTGTTCGAACTCAGGAAGAATGAAAAGGGCACGCAGCTATTGAACGGTAGCGACAGGAACGCGATCTACAACGTCAAATGTCCCGTGACTAAACCGAGCCCATGGATACGGTTTGCCAACCACCTAAATACCTTCGTTGACTCATTTACCAACACGATTGCGCGCATTACTTTACAGCGACTAGGCAGAATCAATAGGTCTCCACGAATGTCGAAAAAAACATTTCGGCATTTAAGGGAATTTCGTCTCTTTAGCCTACATTGAATTTCTGCAGTCCAACGATTATAACCCTTTTATCTTGTTGTCGCCAGCGAATGAAGAAACAAACACTTCTTAAAATTTAAAAAGTAAAAATTTCGCTACCAAAAATTTAAAAAAGTTCTAAAAAATTACAAAGAAATTTGGAAAAGAAATTTTTGTTTTTAGGAGTAGGATGGGAGGGTAATTGATAAAATTAGAGCGAGAGAAAGTCTTCCTTACAAAACCTTTCATTAATGTACCATGATGTGCCCGCATATCATCTCGTTATAACGACATTTTTAGATGTTGAGTGGCGAGTTTATTCTGCATTAATTTTATGTAATCGATTTACTGTTTATTTGTTTTTAATTATAGTATTGGCAGAATTCAAATGTCTGATAAAAAATCATTAAAAACAAATTCCGAACGAGTAGACACAAAACCGCTTGGCTTATTTAATGCTCCTTATTTTGGAAAGTGATATCGATGATCTCATAAATACATAACATTTATCCAAGTTAGACAGTTAAAAGTACACGTAAGTAAGAAACATATTAGGGGTATTCATCTAACATCACAAACTGCCGATAAACGTGATCAAATTATTAATTTGTGTGGAATCTATCATTTTATCATACTTATCGGCAGTTTACCACGTTATATGAATACCATTATTAAAACAATTATTACATCCTAGAAGATAATTTAGGTAGGCCTTCTCAAGTAAAGCCCTTCTAAGGGCTGAAAAGTGTTTCCTTGCATGCCTTCTAGAAGGGCTTATCCATTTACAATTTACGTGAATGCATAAATTTATATATTTAGCATTACAAATGAATTTCAATAAATATTTAAGTTGAAATAACACATATTTGATATAAACCTTAAGCAAATACTTCAAAGATATATGATTTTTATAAATTAAAGAAGCAACTTTAAAAGAAGTCCTCCAAAAGTTCTGAAGTACGGGCTATAAAAGCCCTTCTGGAAGGCCTTCCATGGGTAGCAAAAGAAGAAGCCCTTCAATTTGTGCCACTCCATACAAATAAGAAAGGAGAAAGGAATGTGGAGTGGAAGGCCTCTTGACTCTTAGGAAGGCCTTTCGGAAGGGCTTTTAACTCCTGAAATTATCTACTGGGATGAATCTTCTTTCCAAAATTTTAACAATTTAAAAGAGTGCCTCCACCAACTATTATCCCTAGAGCCTCAAGATTCGTAATCTGTCTTTGGATATACTTGAGGGAATTATTAAATTAATTAATATTAAATAATTCGGATTCCTAACGTACATACATACATAGATTAAATGTACTTTTATTCTATAAAATAATTTGAATTCTTAATGGATTTAATTTATGTTCAGTACACACTTAACAATTGTTCCACTAACGAATTGGTTCAAACACATAAAGGCATTTTTATATAGGAATTTAACATAATATTGTTCACAATTTAACTGAACATTTTTGGGTAAAAAAAGGACGAGTTCTAATCTAAACGAGGCTTACACATAAAGCCTAAAGTTCTGCGGAAGAGTCACATTCGGACAATTTCTGCATCGCATTTTCAGTCATCACCTCAGATATTGAAAGTTGTATTTTAGCTTTCATTCGCTTAACGAATTTAGCATCATCGAGACAATTAAGGCTAGCCGCCACATATTCGCCAAATATTTCGTTCGAACCTTTGTTGACGCGGGCTTTTTCTTGTGATATGATGGGTTCGTTTATTCTATTAGACTCGTTTCTTCTATTGCAATCCGCCGAATTGTTAAAGTCCTCTGAATTGTTGCACTTTTCTGTTCTGTTTAAGTCTTCTGAATTATAGCACTCATCTTCTTCGTTCAGATCTTCTGTTTTATAGATCTCATCTGTTCTACTAACCTCATCCATTAAGGGGTCAAAGGATGTCGATGATTCCTCGTACTCTACCGCGCGCTTGCTTCTTTTTGAAGGAGTTCCTTCGACAGGAACACATGATTCCGCCATAAAGAGCAAGGCGTCATAGTACTCCCACTTGGGTGGATAAACGCGTTTAGCATTTAACGACGCCTTCAATTGTTTCTTGTGTACTTGCATGAAATTTATGCGCAAATTTCGCAACTTCATGCGCACATTTTCACCCGGAACACCAAGTATATCACCGATCTCCTCGTAAGCGATTGTTTTGTAAATCTTGTTTGCGAACTGGCTATCGGTCTTATTCCAAAGGCATGGCCGCTCCTTTGCTTCCTTTATCAGTCGCACGATCATTGTACTGGTCCATTCGACCTAAAAAATTAAATTGATTTTATTGTATACTAGTAGGTTGTGTTACTAAATTGAAAATTTAACTTTTCCCATTATTTTCAAATAATTTTAGGTAAATTATCGCCAAGTAAACAAATAGTTAATGACAGATGCTTACAAACATATGATACGATACCATATCGATACCTTTGGAATTCGATACCGATATTTTTTACTCGATAGTTTTAAAGCGATATTTTTTGTAATCGAGTACCAGAACGCTAGTATCGTATCGACCAATATAATTAAAAGTGAAAGTACATAAAGGCCCGTTTACATACAACTTTGGCGTTGCGTTGGCGTTGGCGTTGGTTTGACAGAACGCACGTTAAAAGTATGCTTGCTACAATGAACGCTTGGCGGCGAATCCTTGGGCCACTAAATTAACATATTAACGACAGATAAATTAATATTTCATATCAATAATTGCATTAAAAACGATATTTCTTGCCCGCACTTGATTAAAAAGGAAAAATATTTCACATAATTTTATTTATTCGCAACAGCTGACGAGCGACGCACGCGAAAAGTTGAGAGTTGGCCATCTTTTTGCTTTGTGTTGGCGTGAGCGTTGTCGAATTTTGGCTATGTGGACGGCTGCATTTGAATTCATGTATTCATAGTCAGCTGTTGAAGCGACGCCAACGCCAACGCAACGCCAAAGTTCTATGTAAACGGGCCTTAACGTCCATTGCGTCACCGTCAGTTGTCAAAAAAGTTAAATCGGTGTATTCGTATGAAGTAAGTTACATGAACAAAGCTGACGGTGACTGTGACGCACAAATTAGCTCAACTTTCAACTTCGATTATGCGTGACAACTATTTTGCGTTTTGTTTACATATCTGAATTTAAATTTTTTCAGTTTGTGAAAATTTTTGGATTTATTGAGATAAGAAATGTAAAATATGACGAAAAAAAATGCAACGCAATTTTGCAAAGAGTAGCAGCGAGTTTTTAATTTTACGGACGCAATGGTGAGCAGATAGTGTGTAACTTGCCGCATAAGCACCGTTGACACTCACATTAACGGTGACGGTGCCGGCGACGCAATGGACGCTGTGTACTTTCGCTTTAACAATTCTTCCCGATATAAATTCGGCTTTAAAGAACAGAAATTTTTTACTATCGTTAGGATTGCATGTGGCGGGATTTGAACAAGCGGTCTCAGTATTTTAAGCCATCACCTCAATCTCTACGTGTTAAAATAATAAATTGGCGCTTACACAAGATGTTAGTGTTTGGCAGAGCTTCTCCACCGATTTGTTGCGTGCGCCTTGATGTTGTGCCACAAAGGGCGTCCCTACTGTTTTACGCTAACTCTGAACGTCGATTGATTTTTTTTTATCAGCTGTTTTTCATGGCAGAAATACCCTCGGTATGGGATATCGAGTCTTTTTATTCCGATATTAATAGGTGCCCGATATTTTTACAGCGACACTTCAAATAAGTACCATATCGATACTTTCGGTTTGATATCGTGTCCCAACATATGCCACGTCTGTGCTGCCAGCGTGTTTAATAGTGAAAAAAGCAATGAACTGCCTGTGTTAATAACTAGCAGCTGCTCAACAGTTGCGAAGGCAAGGCGGCAATTGCTGTGTGGTAGTTTGCAAACTTCTGAAATATGTATATGAAATCAAATAAATATGTAGCTAAAAACTGCAAAAATAGCTGCGAATATGTTATTTTCATAGGGTTTTTTGACAAATAAATTTACGGATTTTGAAGAGGCTAAAATTTTTGAAATTCGCAACTGTAATAATAAATATATATATATGTCAAAATAAGGATGGGAATTTTTGAATTCTTTAGTTGTTATTAATCGTTATTCATCGACTATATTCAATAATTTTATTGAGCTTGAGGCCGTTTTTTTAATGAAGAATTAGTGGGGGAAAACAACAATAATTTATACATGGAAGAAGTTTTTGTGGCTATTTCCTCGACCGCAATCCCCATTTGTATTGTCTATGGGGGTTTTGACAAACCGCTTGAGGGAAATTTGAGTAAAAATCAAAATTTTTTTGATTTTCTGGCCGCCCTGTTGACGTCTGATTAAACCGCTTGCGAAGTGGATAGTAAAATCGTAAATTTACGTTCTTTGCATCATGGGCGGTTCTCGATTCATTACCAATAAATTTATCGAAACGAAAAACTATCGAGCCTATCACCGCTAGCGCAACGATAACAATATCAAACGAAGCGGCAGGATTTTTTAAAAGAGTTGCGCCATTTAGCCTTTTCAAATTTAATAAAATTTTACCAAGTGACTTTTTGGAATTCAGTAAAATAATTCTCGTTTATACATATTTTATGTCAAGCAAATTCATTGATTCGCAGACTGATGAGGAAAGTAATTTTGGTAAGCATGTTGGGGATTATTGCGTTATATGCGCTATTTTTATTGGATGAAGAAAATGAAAAAAGGGAAAGCAGAACCCGCAGGGCGAGGTAATTACTGCTTTGAAAGAATGCGAATAAATTAATTAATTTTCCCACCTTGCAGAAATGCCCGCAGGCAAAGACTAGCATGTTTGCGCATCCGAGAAGACCCGTTTCAAATGGAAGAAAGTACTTTCCGGCGGTACTTTCGGCTTCCAAAGACATTATGTTGGGACATTGTCCAGGAGTTGAAGCCGTATGATAAACGCACAAGTAAATATGGAATTCCATTCGAACTTCTGGTAAGTTATGGAAATGTTCATGAAAAAAGAAATGTCCGGCACTAAATATGCATTATAATTTAGTTCCTTTCAGCATTACATTACCTTGTTAATGCGTCATATAGAAGATGGGTAGGAAATAGTCCTTTTTCAGCCACAAATCGCCTTGGCGTTCTACGTGATATAAACTACATATGCAGACTTGTAGTTAAACACAAACATGAGGAGATAAGCTTTCCCAAAAGTACCGATGAATACGACAGCATTAAGAAAGGGTAAGCTTGGACCTACTTACATACATACAGTGGGACAAAAAATAAAAATAGGAACGTAACATTTTAACGAACTTTGCCTATTTTTCTTTTGGTTATTTAATATTTAATATTTTTTATAAAGGCATAGCTCATTATCCAGCATAAACCATATACCTATGTACATAAATTCATATTTCAAACTTAATTTAAAAATTATAAAATTTCTGCAAAATTGCATCTATATTTTAAATTTTAATATTTTTTTTTTGATTATACAGTTTTATAGCCTATTAAATTCTGGTATAACAAAAAGCAAGTTTGAAGTTGCCAAAAAATCGTGTTGATTTTTGTTTTTTTTCTGATTGATACGCATTTTTTCCATACAAAAAAAAAATCGCCAAAAATTTGCGATTTTTTATTTCACTATGATTACACTAACATACATCAATTCTGCAATATTAATAAAATGCAAGTTTGAAGTTGCTAAAAAATCGCTTTACTTTTTGATATTTTTTCTGATAGATACGCATTTTTTTCTATAGAAAAAAAAAATTTTCGACCATACGTGACTAAAATCGCGAAAAAGCTGCCATTTTTTATTTCACTATTATTAAATCTACTTACATATGTATGTACAACTACGAAAAAATAAATAGGACAACAAACTTAACTTAACAAACTTTGCCTATTTTCCCCCTAACTTTCAAATTTTCCTTATATATATATAAAATAGTACCCTGAAATACCAGCTTAATAGGGTCGAGCTCCCCCCCTAAATTTCATTCTGGCTACGCCGATGAATTCATATAACAAACTTTGTGCAAAAATTATAAAATTTCTACAAAGTTGCATCTAAATTTTAAGCTTTAATCAGGTTTTTCAAAATTATGTTGATTATGCAGTTTTGTAGCTCATTAAATTCTAATATAATGAAATACAAGTTTGAAGTTGATATAAAATCTCAATGATTTTTGATTTTTTTTCTGAATGCTTACGCATTTTTTCAATACAAACAAATTTTGGATAATATCGCTCATTTACTTCAACAGTGTCAAAACTCAAAAAAACAACACTCGGAAAAACGGGTTTAAAGTTTTGAATTTGCACATACTCCCATAGTAAAAATAAATACATACAAAATTGAGAAAACATAGAGAAAGAGGTAGCGGTAATTTCTGCCTACTTCCATTTTTTTTGATTAAGACACTATTAAAGTAAATGAGCGATATGTACTTTGCCTGGAAGAAAATCCCTGAAAAAGTCACAAAAAATCATTGCGTTTTTGCACAAAGTTTGAAATATTAATTTATATGGTTTTTGTTAGATACTGATCTATACTTACAGTGCCGGACAAAAGTATTGGTACAGTGAAGTTTTCGCAATATAAGCAAAGTTTTTTATTCTAATTTATTTTCGATAATATTTGATCAAAATTTATTTTATTCTGCACCAAAAAATATAAAAATATAATCACGAAGCTTTGTGCAAAACTCAGGAAAATTCAATGAAGGCGCATGCTAATTTGCAGCTGTTTTTAGAAAAATTCTAAGTATGCAGTTTTATAGCCTGTCAATTATAGTAAAGTGCAACTTTGAAGAAAATCAAGTTGATTTTTGGCAATTTTTTTCACGCAGTTTCTTCCATACAAAGTACATACATATCGCACATAATCTTCAAAAGTGATACAACTCAAAATTTTTCGTTCGTCAGAAAATGCGAAAAACTTTTTCTTACCACATGCTAATAATATGGGCAAGTAAGACCTTACCTTAGGTTTTTTTAACAAATTATAACAAAAATTTGCTCCAGCTTAGCTAAAAGGTAAATACAAGCTCTGTGTAAATTTTTAGTGCATAATTTCAAAAATGCCAAATTTTGAGTTGTGTTACTTTTGAAGATGGTGTACGATATTTTCAACAATTATTTTTTGTTTGGAGAAAACGAGCAACACCTTCCACTAAAAATTTTGCCTAAAATCAACGCGAAAAATTCACTGCGCCAATACTTTAGCCGGCAATGAATATAAAAAACAATAAATATTAAATTAACAAAAAAAAATAGGCAAAACTTATTAAAATGTCGCTTACCTATTTATTTTTTCACGGCTTTATATACATTTGAAACTGTTACCTAACGCAGAACAACCTTATATTTATAGGTTCCATACAAAATTCGGAATCGAAGGCGTTATTGGTGCCATTGCCTGCACTCATGTTGCCATAAAAACACCAGCATCGTCAGTTGCACATCAATACAAGGATGATAGGGGAAACTATAGCATTGTGGTTGAAGCGGTAAGAATAGAAAACACATTGCTGAGACTTCATATTAAAATTCATTTAAACCTCAGATATGCGACGATGAACTCATCATACGCCACATAAATACCCGATTTCCCGGCTCTTGCCTCGGTTGCGAGGTATGGACAGCTTCACCACCCAGAATAAAACTCATTAATGAACATACTTCTGGTGAAACTAAATGGCTTTTGGGTGATTCTGAGTACCCATTAGAGCCATGGCTTCTAACGCCTATACTAGACGCTAAAACAGAGAACGAAGAGCTTTACAATACGTTGCACTTAGAGGCTATATACACTATTAGCAAAACTTTTGCCACACTGAGATCACACTTTCGCTGTTTATCTACAGGACGTGTTCTTTGGTACGACCATAAGGATGCTGCGCAGTTGGTATACGCGTGCGCAATATTTCATAATGTATTGCAAAAATGTGGCATTTATAAAAATGATTACGTTGACGTGACGACTAATGATGCTACTATTGAGGAAATATGCTCAAACGACTCAATAGAATGGGACTATTACGACGAAGGTAAAAAGACACGCGAAAGTTACCTAAACAAGTTAACTCTGAAATAAAATGGAGGAAGAATTTACAACTTTTACTTACATATATAATCTACTTTTTGTTTTCATGTAGCTTCTTATTTTATTATTTGCCATGAATATGCATATTTGTTTTTTTATTGATTTCTTTTTCATAATAGGGATTTTTAAATATATTAAATGGAATCCAATGTAGTACCTTACTTTATTATTTGCCATGAATGTTAATATTTATTTTGTATTGGTTTGTTTTTCATAACATGGTTTTTTAAATGAATGGAATCCAATAAAATGATTTAAGACCTTAGTGACGAGTTTTATTTTTGTATAGTAAATTTGTCTGCAAAAAAAAAGTCGGGAGGATAGCAAGTATTTTGTAAGGTTGCGATATAGTCTTCAAAAAAGATCATGGGCGGGTTCTATTCACTTCCGAGCAAATTTTAGCAAAATTCGCTTTGAATTCAAATTGAGCTTTCCTGAAATTCACTCGGAAGTGAATTGCATCACCTGCCTGTATAACGTTACCTTAATTTAAAAAGGATATATCGTTGCTGAAATACAAAAAAGCCGTGACTAACGAAAAATCAAACATTCACTTTTCGATTGTTTATGATGCATTTCATAGAATTATATGTAAGTCTTCACATCATTTATGAAACACAAAATTTTAGTTACGGTTTTTTTGCATTTCAGCGACGATATTAGATAGGGACTTCTTATATTAAGGTAACGACTGCACCTACTAATGTATTTTTTTTCAATCTGTAAAATATGGACAAGTCCTTACCTAAAAGTGAGCGATACTTGAGGAAACTCTATTATATAGTAGAAATCGTTTGCCTTCACACTTTCTGCCGTGATAGGATGAACTGATTGTTTAGCAGATTAGAAACTATTTACTACCGAAATGAGCTAAACAAATTCTTTAACTGGACACTTTAGTATACAAACTTTTTCCAAGAAGTTTTAGGTCATTGCATCAAAATTGATGCGACATCGATGGAGAACAGTAAAGTAATTGTTAGGGTTTCTTCTCACTTGTTTCGCTAAGTAAAACTTGTATTTATATATGCACAAAGTACATAGTATACATATATACATATATGTATGTACATACATACATATATCTGTAAAACCCAAACAACGCACCGGCTACCTGTTAGCCACCTCCACTGGCATACAAAAACAAAGCAATTAGCGCATTGCATTCCACTTAAGGTTTTAGCCAAACCAAATATTTTTACGATGTCACTGTTTCGTTAAGTACGTTTGTATTTGTTTTATTTTATTTTTTGTATTATTGTTTGTTAATTTATTGTTTCGATGGCGTTAACTGGCTAGTATGTATGTCGTCACTAGTGAACATTTTTGCTGTTAAAGTTTATTTAGTTTAAGGTCAAATGATATGGAATTTTTATTGAGGACGCGTTAATTTGAAGCTAGTAATTAACTAAGTGCACATATGTTGTACATACAAAATATTACTCGGTTAGAATATGCATATACATATGTAGAAAATTTCCCAAAGAGTTTTTGGAGTGACAGTCCTTGGCCAGATATACATAGGTCTGGGTCGTTCCGATTACGTAGAACCGACTGTCGTGGAGCTAATTTTTTATGCATTAAATTTTTATTTATTTTTTTTTATGGAAAGTCATAGTCCACTAGTATTTGAAGTCAGCAGTTTCATATCGTTAGCTTAATATAGAAAGGCCCTATCTAAAATGTTTGTTTCTTAACGGAGTGGTAAAAAAAAACTGCCTACAAAATCAAGTCCTTTTGCTGCGAGTTTCTTTAAAAGGCTGTTTTTATTTAAGAATGTAACTAATTTTATGCTATAGTAAATATTTTTAAAATCCAGTAGGTGCTTGGTGGGTTATCGGCAGACTTTTGTAAAATACTGGATTTGACAAGAAAATGAGTTAGGGTCTTTCTATATTAAGTAGTAGTATGTGCTATATTAATTTTGTCAAATTTTTATAAGACCCGTTTATATTTTAAGGTGATTAGCTTTATTTAAAAAATATGTATGTTTTAAAACTTAACACCATGGAATAAATGTTTCCAATATACCCATTTCTGTTCTAAATACAACTTTTTTTTTTACAGAAAATATTAAATAGAAACCACTTTTCTTTGTAAA